TTTCTCCATAGCCGGCTGTGTCAATGACTGAAAAATCATCTTCACATATTATCTTCATTTCGTGAACTTTGCATGCATTGGGTATTCCTTACGCTGCAAGTGGTCTTAATTTGTTATCAAAAAAAAAAAAGAAAACAACACGCAAATTAACCTCATGCATAACATAAACTTGTCATTTTCTTGACGTTATGTACAAAAGACTTTTACTGCATTATGGTTCAGTTAAAGAACCGAGATTACAAAATAGAGTAAATAGGAGGAAATAAAAAACATCACTTTATTCAATAGATTCAAAACTTGAAATTTAAAGCGCCAGGTTCTACCACAGGTAACCCAGGCTCTGTGATAGTACCATAGTACGGTTCCAGTAAAATTACAGTGTTTGTATGGGTTAAAAATACGATCCTAGAATTTCTAGGAAATACTAAATAAAGATCAATGAAACTTACTCTGCAGTTAATTGTTGTTGTCCTTATTGCTCCAACGAAGTTTCGTGATAATTTGCAGAAATTTGTTCAAATTCACTCTATATACAATAATAATATACAAGGTAGGAAACACGAGGTGCCATTTTCGCCGACATGCTCTCATTCAACACAACTTTTTCCACCAAATTCGAACTCCAACGGAGAATAAACATGCCGGGATCGTAGAAATAGGATAGCAGCAGATATAGAAACCAATGAAGCTTTCCCAGATAGAGAAACGAATCCCACAGACTTTGACAAACTCGAAGAATATAATTCAAACACACCGAGAATACGCTCGCCGAAGCAGCCGGGCCAGATCAACGCGCGGCCAAGAAAATGAGGCCTGGGCACTGTACAAAAAAATTCCACCCCGGGAGTCCTGGGGTGACTTTCTAGGGACCGATACATCATTTGCCCAAAGCCACCCTACCCTGCTGAAAAAATACTTAATAGAAGGCAATTGTTCTTCCTAGCCGTACCACCCTGGCCTGTTATAAAGAGATTACGTCCCTCTAGATCTCGAACTATATTCAGCGCCTGGCGCTGGTCCTCAGAAAGTTTATCAAACATCAATAGGGCAAGGTTATAAGGGCAGAGGAAAGAACAACGAAGGAGGATTTACAAAACTTAAAACGAGCAAAGATATAAGTGAATTTTGGCTCTTACCGAGGCATTTGTACAACAGGACCAAATTCAAAGAGAGGTGTATCACGATGATTCACATATTTAACCGATAGAACAATGGCGGCTGAATCGCGTTTTGCTAGCTAAAGTTGTTTTGTCTCGATATTTTTGACCAACTAGTTGGATTTTACTAAAACAATTATTCCTCTCGCCCTCATGGCCTCTGAGTCAATAGCCCATTCGGCCTTCGGCCTCATGAGCTATTGACTCAGAGCCCATTCGGGCTCGAGGAATAATTGTTAAATATCCATAGAGCTTGGGGCTCGTGTGATAGGAACGTTGCTATATCAACAAATTCTTTCAATGGCAAAATCAAACTTAAACTTCTTTTTACCACCTCTGCACAGAAGCTCACTTTGCCAAACATTCTTTTGTATTCTTAATAGAAGAATATGTATTTTGCGCTATTTACGTTACTCGTCATGAAGGTTTTGGCATCGACTTTACTGATACTATTGATGAAAGTAGCATTGACGCTGGATGTAAAAATCTATGACTTCGTCAACTTCCGGTTTTCTTAAAACCCAGAAATAGCCATAAGTAATCACTATATTCAAACCGCAGACCATGTCTGCTGTTTCCAAACCGTTGTGTACGAGAGATTACATCGCACAGCAGTATGATAAATTTAAATAAAAAATTGCCCTTTTGGCTAGCAACTCTTCGGTCATAAAAAGATAAACTCAGGTAAACTTTTGTGATCTTTAATTCCTTTCTTTCACGTACTCCGAGCACTGATAACACCAAGTTATGAGCAAACTAGAAAAGATTGGCGGCCACCCATGTGACCTTGAGGCTAGAGACCCTAAAATCTGGCACCGGCAATGAAATAGCATAACGCTGAGGGTGATAAACTTACCAGAAATAATGAAAAATGAATCTTTAATACTCGCCAAATTTCGTGCAAACACATGCCTCCTCCACCTGAGTTTTGTTAAAAGTCTCATAAAAGGCTCGAGAAATTGTGAGACTTTTGACAAAAGGCAAGTGTAATTATTGTGTTTTCATTCGTCACCATTTAAATATATACATTCTAATTTTTTAGCATTTGAAAATTAATGTTCAGCGCCTAATAACAACAATATTTAAGCTCAACGATATTGCACACTTGTTGCGCTTCGGTCAATTGAAGAAATTAATTTATGTTGCAGGAATAGATAGATGAAACTGAAGAAAATTAAAAATTTCTTTGTACATGTATGAAAAGTTAACAAAAAGTTGTTTATCACTATGAAAAGTTAAGCTCGATCTCATTAGATGAATAGTTGTTGTATAACAAAACCAAAGAGACCTTTAAACAATGTTCTGGGACTGGCTTCCTTGCAGTAATATTGCAGGATGTTTGTCACATAAACCTAGTTTAGTGTCCGTAGCTCCGAAGAATGTCTTGTAGCTTTGTGGTAGAGCATCTGGACTAGTAATCAGAAGGCCATAGGTTCGTCTCCTATCGGGAGTACTCGGAGCTTTTCTCCATAGCCGGCTGTGTCAATGACTGAAAAATCATCTTCACATATTATCTTCATTTCGTGAACTTTGCATGCATTGGGTATTCCTTACGCTGCAAGTGGTCTTAATTTGTTATCAAAAAAAAAAAAGAAAACAACACGCAAATTAACCTCATGCATAACATAAACTTGTCATTTTCTTGACGTTATGTACAAAAGACTTTTACTGCATTATGGTTCAGTTAAAGAACCGAGATTACAAAATAGAGTAAATAGGAGGAAATAAAAAACATCACTTTATTCAATAGATTCAAAACTTGAAATTTAAAGCGCCAGGTTCTACCACAGGTAACCCAGGCTCTGTGATAGTACCATAGTACGGTTCCAGTAAAATTACAGTGTTTGTATGGGTTAAAAATACGATCCTAGAATTTCTAGGAAATACTAAATAAAGATCAATGAAACTTACTCTGCAGTTAATTGTTGTTGTCCTTATTGCTCCAACGAAGTTTCGTGATAATTTGCAGAAATTTGTTCAAATTCACTCTATATACAATAATAATATACAAGGTAGGAAACACGAGGTGCCATTTTCGCCGACATGCTCTCATTCAACACAACTTTTTCCACCAAATTCGAACTCCAACGGAGAATAAACATGCCGGGATCGTAGAAATAGGATAGCAGCAGATATAGAAACCAATGAAGCTTTCCCAGATAGAGAAACGAATCCCACAGACTTTGACAAACTCGAAGAATATAATTCAAACACACCGAGAATACGCTCGCCGAAGCAGCCGGGCCAGATCAACGCGCGGCCAAGAAAATGAGGCCTGGGCACTGTACAAAAAAATTCCACCCCGGGAGTCCTGGGGTGACTTTCTAGGGACCGATACATCATTTGCCCAAAGCCACCCTACCCTGCTGAAAAAATACTTAATAGAAGGCAATTGTTCTTCCTAGCCGTACCACCCTGGCCTGTTATAAAGAGATTACGTCCCTCTAGATCTCGAACTATATTCAGCGCCTGGCGCTGGTCCTCAGAAAGTTTATCAAACATCAATAGGGCAAGGTTATAAGGGCAGAGGAAAGAACAACGAAGGAGGATTTACAAAACTTAAAACGAGCAAAGATATAAGTGAATTTTGGCTCTTACCGAGGCATTTGTACAACAGGACCAAATTCAAAGAGAGGTGTATCACGATGATTCACATATTTAACCGATAGAGCGTTCACTTGTATTGACAAGAAGTCGGCGTGTTACTGCCGCATTAATCGCTAAATATGTTAATCGCGCTAGTTCTTTGTTTACTGGTGCAGGTGCCTTTCACATTCGTCACAGTTATCGCAATTCATATTCTGTCGCAATTTTCTGTATAATTTTTGACATTAGTTTGTAAGCTTCACCGTTTATTTACGATAGTTTCGCTCGAGAGTTCACAGCAACAGTATCTTAGTCATCATCCACCTTTTGTTCAACCTTGTTTTTAGCCCGCCTTGTAAGTATTTCGCGTTGTTATTTCATTAGTTTCATTACTGTTATTTGCATTCCTTAGTAAAAGAAATGGGGCGCCTTGTAACTCCGCAGACTCTCCTGGTTATATTAATTTTTTTTTAGCCATTTAAATTTAGGCGCGTGTGCGGGGTTTGCTCTGGCCAATTGTGATTGGCTAGGAAGAACAATTGCCTTCTATCAAATATTTTTCCAGCAGGGTAGGGTGGCTTTGGGCAAATGATGTATCGGTCCCTAGAAAGGTCACCCCAGGACTCCCGGGATGGAATTTTTTTGTACAGTGCCCAGGCCTCATTTTCTTGGCCGCGCGTTGATCTGGCCCGGCTGCTTCGGCGAGCGTATTCTCGGTGTGTTTGGATTATATTCTTCGAGTTTGTCAAAGTCTGTGGGATTCGTTACTCTATCTGGGAAAGCTTCATTGGTTTCTATATCTGCTGCTATCCTATTTCTACGATCCTGGCATGTTTATTTTCCGTTGGAGTTCGAATTTGGTGGAAAAAGTTGTGTTGAATGAGAGCATGTCGGCGAAAATGGCACCTCGTGTTTCCTACCTTGTATATTATTATTGTATATAGAGTGAATTTGAACAAATTTCTGCAAATTATCACGAAACTTCGATGGAGCAATAAGGACAACAACAATTAACTGCAGAGTAAGTTTCATTGATCTATATTTAGTATTTCCAAGAAATTCTAGGATGATATTTTTACCCCATACAAACACTGTAATTTTACTGGAACCGTACTATGGTACTATCACAGAGCCTGGGTTACCTGTGGTTCTACATAAATTTAGTGTTTAACATTTTTACAGCATACAGTCAGATGTGATTAAAACCAACATGTCTGATCACAGTTTAGTGTCCACAGATTCCAGTTTAAAATCCTGCTCTAGATAGCTTGAGTTCCTTGATATTTTTGATGGCTCTATCCCCGGCGTTAAAGCAAACCCCCTGTTATCTCTTCCTTCATTCTCTCCCCTGTTTATAACTGTTTGGCGTCTTGTGAAGCACAAAACCAATGATTGTCTGAACTCAGGTATCCTTAATGAGTAGACAACCGAGTTTACAAAACAGTTTGAAAAGTTGAGAATATTTATGATATCATAAATCAAACGCCTTTTAGGTATAGTGATGTTTTCAACAAAAAATATGTAGTTTGCAGTCACTAGAGGAAGCCATGACAGTAAAGAGACGGTGGATACGAGCAACAAGGTTACGGTCAAGCGCTGGGTTTGAGATGCTCTGGTTCCCTGTTTTGGAGAAACGTTCCTCTTATGGAAAGTTCTGCAAATACCAATGTTACAAGCACAAACAATAAATAGAAACAGCAAAGGGAATGACATCCAAGCATAAATAGCTGCTTTGTCTGAAATTAAGTACTTGACAAGGTTGAACACTGCCGAAACAAGCAAAGCCAGCGTCCAGATGATGACAATTGTAATGTAGTACGCTTTGGTTGCCAAATTTCGGTGTTTTAGCGGCCAGTAAATGGCGTAAAAACGTTCAACGGCTATAAAAACAGCAGAGATTAATGATGCCTGCGAGAAGGTGGTATCAGTGACGTGCCAACCGATAGGCAACGTTATGTTTGATGTATCCCGTTTCCATAGCCGATACATGGGCCCGATATATAAGTAAACATACAAAGGCAAGGAAACAGCTCCTGAAATCAAATCTGCGAAAGCCATGTTTACAACCAGAAAGAGGCTTTTCTTTCGAAGTTTTTTCTCTTTTGCAAAGAGACCAATTGTGAGGAGGTTTCCCGTAACAATCAGGACGGCTTCAAACAAGAAAACGACGGACAGTGTTATTCCTTCTACCCGTGAAGGAACTGAATATGGCGTGTATGTTGAAGACTTATTATTTGCGCTAGTGCCAGCTGATTCGTTCATAATCTTTTTGTATGAAGTAATTGCTTTTTTTTCTTCTTGATGTGTCCAGGACTTGAAGTATCTATCGGTGTAGGAAAAACTGAAGATATTTAACTCGTTGCCCTAAGTACACTATACTGCGTCTATGAATCATGAAACAGAATAAACTGTCTCGATGTATAGGAAAACATATTTATTGTTGTCGCGTTTTAATATATACACGCTGTATGTGTTCTGTGGATGCAGGTGAGGTTAATTGATAAAACTAATTTAACCGTTATTTTGGCTTAGCCTAATATATTGGGTAATTTATTTCACCTTTTGGGACGACTTTTTGGACTAAATTAGTTAATACGCCTTCTCAACGTATCGGCCATTTATCCAACAGGGCATTTTTGCAGATGATTTGCATAAAAAAGTGAATAATAATAAGGTTTATATAGCCTAATCATGATGAAGACGTTTACTTGATGAAACTAATTTAAACTTTATTTAGCTTACCCGACAAATAGTCGGCAATTTATCATTTCTTTTGAGACGAATTACTTGTCTGAATTTGTTAATACGCCTTCAAAACGTATCGGCTATCATTGATACCGGAACCTTTAAGATGATAAGTAATATATAGATTTAGCCACAGCTAAAAGCGAAGCTCCCATTAATAAATTTATAACTTAAATCAAACAATAATTTTGTATTCCTCAAATCAGTTAACTTAAAGGGACAGTGTCCCGATTATGCGCACGC